ACAACTTTCATATGTTTATGTATCCTACAAAGCCTAAAAAAAAATCGTGAAAATAGCCTTTTTTTTCGGCGTATAAACCAGAATGAACCCTTAATTGGTTATTAGCCCCGACGAAGTTGGTTCTGTTATCAGAATAAACGTGAGTTGGAACAGCTCTTCGACTCACAAATCGCCTAAAAGCGGCCAGGAAGGCCTCCGTAGTTAGATCGCTGACTAATTCGATATGTACTGCCTTTATAGTCATACAGACGAAGATACACCCGTATATTTTAACGCGACCCTTATTATAATATTTCTTTTCCTTCGCGCAGATCGGCCCGAAAAAATCTACTCCGACATGGGAGAATGCAGTGGCTTCCTGCACTCGAGAGCTTGGTAAATTCCCCGTTTTATACTGGATGCCGGATGCACGGAATCGGATGCAACGTACGCAATGACGTACGATTCTTCGCACCTAATTCTTGCCGTCGAGAAGCCAAAACCGTTGTCGAAGAGCATAGAGGGTAGTCTGTTTTGTTCGTGGAATTTTCGGATAAGGAGATCGGTGACGTGATGATGTGAGGGCAATAATATCGGACATCTCTCGTAGAAACTTAAATTTGCGTTTCGAAGTCGGCCCCCCACTCGAATTAAGCCTTCTTCGTCGAGGATCGGATTTAACGCGGCTAGTCTTGTGCTCTGTTTTTAATCTTTCTCTTTCGGCGTGAAATTGTTCACCTTGCACGATCTTTAAAACGTGTCGTTCCGTTTCTGTTATTTCCGCCGTAGACAATTCTCCCTTATACGAGTTAGTTTTAAGCCATCGTCGGCATCGAGCTACAATTTTCAATAATCGCGCGTAATTGGAGAATCGCTGAAATACATTTCCGGATTCAATTCGCGTCGTTATTACCGACAATCCTTTCACGTCCGGTAATTCGAGAATTTCCTTTTCCGTCGGGTTGGGCCATTCAGTCGCTGGTTTCGCAAGCCAGGGTGGTCCATGGAACCATGCCTCGTTCCTCAAAAAATCGCGCGGAAGTTGTCCCCTAGATAAAGCGTCCGCTGGGTTGTCCTCGGATCGCACATGTCGCTATGTGATATCTTCACAGATTTCATGTATTTCGCGCACGCGATTCGCCGTGTATAATTTTAACGTATTGGAGTCTCTTTTCAGCCAACCCAGTACAATCATCGAATCGGACCAAAAAGTTATCTTGTTGGGTTTCAATCCGCCGGCAGTTCGGACTTCTCTATATAATCGCGCGAGTGTTAATGCTCCGCATAGCTCTAAACGTGGTATAGTGGTATCCTTAAGGGGAGCCACTCGACTTTTCGCGCAAAGTAGACGTACATATTTGTTACCGAATTCATCTCGCGATCTTACATATAAGCAGCCGCCGTAACCAGATTGACTCGCGTCGCAAAAACCATGCACTTGCACGTCAATCGGGTCGTCGAGTGTGATGCGTCTTTCTATCGTTAAACTGTCAATTAATGTCAATTGTTCTGCGAACGTTATCAACGAGGTACGTAACGTACTGGGTACTGATTCATCCCAGTCGACGTGTGTTTTCCAGCAGTCTTGGATGAAGATTTTGGCTGTTAGAATGACGGGTCCTAGGAGTCCAAATGGATCAAAGATCTTTGCAACTTCGGATAAAATTCGTCGTTTGGTAATTCTTTCGTGAATATCTACTGGCGCGACGGAGTAGATTAAACAATCATAATGTGCGTTCCATGAAATACCGAGTGTCTTTAAAATAGGATTTTCCCCAGTGCAGAGCTCGACGTCGATGTTTTTTATGTCTAAATTTTTGAGCACCGGTCGGAAGTTAGACGCCCACTGTCGTATATTAAAACCGCCTCGTTTCAATATTTCAATAGTTTGATCGCGTATCTTTCCGAGGGTTTCGACATTATCAGTTYCCGTAATGAGGTCGTCCACGTATAGATCGCGGTTGAGTATTTCGGCTCCGAGTGGATATTTAGCACCTTCATCCATCGCGAGTTGTTTGATGGTTCGTATGGCAAGAAACGGTGCTGACGCTATTCCGAATGTCACCGTATTAAGTTCTGTACGATCCGAAAGGATCGTACGGTAATTAGCGGTATTCAAAATTCGCGCGAGTTATGTTACAAGGGTCCGAAATAGAGAATTACGAATACGCAAGAAAATAACGATAACGAATTTGTTTGGTTCGGATAGGCAAGTAAATAATCGAACTAAAAGCGTTGATTAAAATACTTCCGATTTATTTACGTCTTTACAATTAAGAAGCCTGACAGAGAATGATCGTCGCTGACGCGAAGGCAGCGATGGATAGCACCTTCCCTTGCCCTTTCATCGTAATCGAGCACCAGGAGGATGTTTAGTCTACCCATGCTGATAATGGGGCCGGCCGCCCGGGCATTCCAGAGGCCCGGTGGCGGAGTGATATGACTCCTCCCTGCCGAAGTTCGAGGACGTCCTTGTCCTTGACGTCCGTGGTATGTTGCCTCCCCCCATGCTGCCTCCCCCTGTTCTTACATTTATACAACAAGTAAACAAGCATGACCGATATCAGCAACAACACCAGTACAATCGAGGTTACCGATGTATGAAATTCCAATCCGAATGATTTATTAGGAGTTATGAATTTTGGGGTAGTTATTGTGGGTATTACCAAACTTTTCAGCGGTTCGAAATTCAGTTGATGATTCCTGATTATGARAGGTTGTAAAAGATTAATTTGCTTTGCTTCTCCGAAATCTTTGTCGAGTTCGTACCCTTGGATTTGTAGGTTACCCCCCTGTACCAAATGTGTCCCCCTGATCATGGTTTCGTTGTTACCATACTTAATCTTTATATAGTAGTTGCTTGATATTAACGTTGAATTTTCGGTTAATTTGTAAACGAGCACCAGTGAAGAGCCCACACCCACAATGATCGGCCCCGTTCCGACGGCCGTTATTTATTGACATAAGTGTACTTCTTTATCAACGAGCCGACATTCCTTTGCATATAGCTTGATTGTAGGTCCAATTAAAGTCCAAGGTGTGGTAATAATTTCCGTTTGATTATTAWTATTGATAATAGCAAGTCTTTGAATTAAGGCGAATTCAATGGGATTTAGGATAGGAATTTTAAGGGCATATATGATAGAGTCTTGGGTAAATACGATTKTTCCYYTAGTAAAGCGAAAATCTAACAAGCTATGATAATGTAACATAAGCTCCTTATAAGAATAAATACCCAAAAGGTGTGCACGAATATTTGATATTTGTTCGTATGTAAGTATTTCCAAATCGAATAATTGTTCCGAAAAGATGAAAGATCTTTTTATTTTGCCTAACAAATCGAGAAAATTTTGTCCCTGTATAATAAGCGTGGTTATTCCTTCGAAGAGATTAAATTTGATGTTTTGGTCATTCAAAGTTTTTGCCATATTT